TATACATGCTAGCTACGGCCCTGCGTGCAAATTTTTCCAAATCATTTGATACCAGTTTTTAATATTAAGTATTTTATACTCACCATTGATTGTCATCGTTTCTGGCTGATTTGTTAGTTGCACATCGCCGGCACTTGTGATCTGGGTTGCAGCTGATTGGTCTAAATAATCTGATTGAAAGAAATGGGAAACGTACAATATGTTATTTGTTTTTGATACCAGTTTTTAATATTAAGTATTTTATACTCACCATTGATTGTCATCGTTTCTGGCTGATTTGTTAGTTGCACATCGCCGACATTTGTGATCTGGGTTGCAGCTGATTGGTCTAAATAATCTGATTGAAAGAAATGGGAAACGTACAATATGTTATTTGTTCAGTTTGAACGTGCAAATTTTTCCAAATCATTTGATACCAGTTTTTAATATTAAGTATTTTATACTCACCAATGTTGATTGTCATCGTTTCTGGCTGATTTGTTAGTTGCACATCGCCGGCACTTGTGATCTGGGTTGCAGCTGATTGGTCTAAATCATCTGATTGAAAGAAATGGGAAACGTACAATATGTTATTTGTTCAGTTTGAACGTGCAAATTTTTCCAAATCATTTGATAGCAGTTTTTAATATTAAGTATTTTATACTCACCATTGATTGTCATCGTTTCTGGCTGATTTGTTAGTTGCACATCGCCGGCATTTGTGATCTGGGTTGCAGCTGATTGGTCTAAATCATCTGATTGATAGAAATGGGAAACGTACAATGTTATTTGTTCAGTTTGAACGTGCAAATTTTTCCGAATCATTTAATACCAGTATTTAACATTAAGTATTTTATACTCACCATTGATTGTCATCGTTTCTGGCTGATTTATTAGGTGCACATCGACACCAGTTGTTTGTGTTGCTGACTGGCCTGAATTATCTGTTTGAAAGAAAGGTGAAACACACATCATCATAATTATTTGGTGAGGATGTACAATTGGTGTGAGGTTCTTAAACGTAATAAATAGTTAGCAAAGATTTTGTACTAACTTAATTTACTCTGTATCTTCCCAGGGTTCCTTTTTCCTAGTTCTGAAAGGTAAATATCATCATTCAATTTCTCTCATACAAAAATTGTATAGACATTAATACCTGGTAACGGCGTAGTTTGGGCTTAAATGCGAAAACAAAATGATTGCATAGCAATCAAAATATTTGTATGTTTTTGGATATTCATGGTGTTCCAGTTGATTGTTCCTTTTCCAGACTGAATTGAATGAAATTGATTATTGAAATTGATTATTCTCGCTTGATTTGATAAAATAAAATGAATAAATAGATTATAAAACGATACTTTGTCAAGGTCAGGGTAGTTAGTTTGTAACCCCTCCTGCACATCGGCTGTTTATAATAATTAATAATTGTTAAAAGTGTTATTAGAAAAAGTTGTTGCGAATACATTTCAGTCTGGACTTTCGTCTTTTTTACTGAATGTTGATGGTTATAAACACTTACTGCTATCCAGTTTCGTAATCGTAACGGGATCGAACCATGCCCTCTTAATATGGAGCGCCCGCAACTGTTGGCCTGTTGGTAATGCCTTGAATTTAACCTGCCGACCATTACAACCTATGCCGTTCTGCTTAACATAATGTCGAATGGCAGCTTCTGTTATTCCTGCAACGGTCTGTTGCCCGAAAATGTTTTCAACGCAATCTATTGCTTGCTTGATGTTAAAAGCAACAACAATTCCGCAAGTGCAGGTTTTTGGCCTGATCTCTTGATCAAAGAATTTTAATGCCTATAACAAAAATTTTGTAATTTCATGCATAAGCGTAATGTGTATGGTAATACATGGTTGCAACATAACATGATTTGGGGACTTGTAAAAACAGAATAATTGTAGGCCTTTTTTGTATTATTACTCACGTCTTTGGTATCTTTGTTTAGAATTGCCGATGGCAAATGGAGTTTCAAAAAGTCTTTGATTAGATTATCTTTACTTAGTTTAGCTGGATTCGTGTCCTCTCCAGATCCTTGGCCGACGTCGTTGCAATACGCTGGCAGAATAAGTGTCGCCAGTTTTTCCCATACAATATTGTATAAATCTGGCATCTCTAATTTTTGAAGTATCTAGAGAACGGAAAAATTTGATGGAAAGGAAATATGGGAAAAAGGTAAACAATAAACCGAAAAAACAACTGCATATGTAGTCATGGCATATACAGTACATACCTTTTTCGAGCAAAATAATAACATTGTAAATGATTCTAATGCCCTCTGATCTACTTTATAGTTGTTTTGGGTGATTTCTTCCTGCACATTGGCTCGTGCGTTAATAAAGTCTTCGTCATTCTCATATTGGCTAATCACTCCATGTAAGTAAGACGTTAATATTGAGATACTCTTGTGAGCACTTTCTCTTTTTCTTCTGACACTTTTCTCTGCTTTCAAGAGAGCTTGTCCGTCCAGTTTTGGAGAAATTGACGCGAACAATATTGGCAACCACCGAGATTTAATTCTAAAAAAATGCCATTAAAAAATGATGCCATTACAAGATGTCATTACAAGTGAAGATACTAAGAACACTATACTGCCGCAATCATTGCAGTATCTTGAACGCACTCAGAGTAAAAGAAAAAACTAAAATACGTTAGCTCAAGACCGGAACAACCACGCAATAATGATTTTACTTACTTGATGTCGTTGCAATTTTCGTTTGTGGTGATGATGGGCACAGTATGCGGCTTAAAAGATGCCATCAAATTTGAACTTCCACACTAAAATATAGAGATCAAGTAATAAGCGACGACTAAACTTGTAAATATTCATCATGGCATCTATTCAGTTTAGCTTGTTTCAGTACCTGTTTCCAGCTTGCAGTCAATGAAAAAACAATAGGAAAGCTTAAGCAAGCGATCGACATTTTTTTAACACAGACGTCAGATAACCGAAGGAGGGAATGGATTAAAAACTATGTTTGTATCAGTTTGTGGTAATCTTCAACATATATGATAAAAATAAGATTTTTAAAGTTTTTTGTTTCCTTATATGACCGCTATGATGCAAACTGCCGCCAATATTAGTTATACTACTTTTCGGGTGACGTCCAATGTTGACAAAAAAATCGCCGCTTACTTAGGTTCCACTAATCATTTACAACGCGGCCTGGGTATACTGTATATAACCTAAAATTCAACTAAACGAGGTTACAGGAACACTTACGGCATTATAAGAGTTCACGGTCACGTTTTTCAACGTTTTTATGTTTGACGAATCGTCCCAACCAAAGGGGATTGTCGTCCTCGACTGCATTTTTTCTACGTATTTACTGGAGCATTCTTCAGAAAATAAAGTACGTAACATAAAGAACTGAGTCGCTTTACAAAGTTAAAATTATAAAAGTAATTAACTGCATGATTTATGTTTAACCATAGTGAATTAGCATTTATTTATTTGATGAGGGTAAATATACATTTTTACCTGAGAAGGCATTCTACCAAATAGCCCTCTAAAAATTAGATACCCTACAGTATTTACAATATATACAAAGAAGCAAGTCTATATAGTTGCATTTGACACAGCACATATGGGACTATACAACTTATAGTACCAAATACGAGAATAACTGTATTATTAAGCATGCATAATGTGTTTTTTTTTAGTTTTGACAATATATAGGTTGTTAAAAATTAAAAGAAAATTCAGTGCGAGTAACAAATGCAGTTAATTGGTTTTTGCAAGGAAGACACGAAAATTGTTCAAGATGGTCAACCTCATGATTAAGATTAGAGAAAAACCTCTTAACTTTATGCTTACACGCAGACGGGGAGTAATCGTTATACACTTTCAGGTCATTTGGTAAAGAATTGAAAAGTAAAACACCACTGTATGAGAGTTTGGTCTTGGAAAGATTAGATTTGACAGATGGTATTTTGAGATCAGTAACAGAGGAGCGAGTATATACATCGTGCGATGCCCCGGAGAAACAAAACAACTCGCGCAGATCACTAGGAGATGAGCTGCGCAAGGTGCTTACAACAAGTAAAATTTTTCGCATCTTAATTAAGTTGTAGATGGAGATCAGATAGACAAAGATCAGTGCCAAAGTATAAAATTTCGAGGTTACAGCAAACGGCCTAATCTGGCTAATCTACTGTGTAATAGACCTTTCCAAGGTTAACGATGCCATCTTGAATCCATTGTTTTCACCATTGTGTTTGCACCCCTTGCAAATTTACCTCTAGGGAATTCCATTGTATTTGCACCCCTTGCACAGTTTCACTATTGCGTTTCATGATGGGTCGATAACCTTGGAAAGGTCTATTATAGATGTTCAACCTTACCACTGCTAAATTTCGTTATTCCAAACACACTTAAAATACATTTAAGCGCCGTTGTTTTTCCTGAGACAGGTTCTCCTTTGAGCACGGGCGTTGGGCAACCTTCGAATTCGCGAATTAACAAATCGTAATTTGCGGCCATTCCACTGGCCGCATGACCCATGATAACCTGGGCAAAATTATTTTGAAACAGTTCTCGTTCCGCGAGAAGTAATTCTCGAAGAGCTTCGCCGTTATCGAAATCTGTAATGAAACCAAAAATATATATGTCATACTAGAAACTGCTAATGTATATATTGATTATTGTACTTGAGTTTTGTATCGCCGATTCAGAGAGTGTTCAGAGTATTGTTCAAAGTAATTGCTTGCAATTTCAATCAACCCACAGTTCTACTGTACATATCATTTATTCGATTTAAAAAATCGAAGTTTAAAATATTTTAATTAAGGCTGTCCCCGAGCAAAGCGGAAAAGTCGAATACGAGCGTGAAAGGCTGCTGGAAATCGCTAAAAATAAAGTCAAATACGAGCGCGAAAGGCTGCTGGCCAGTGCTGGGAATCGCTAAAAAATTAATGAATATTTTAGCGATTCTCAGCAGCCTTTCACGCTCGTATTCGAATTTTTCACTTTGATGAGGACAACCTTAATTGAAATAGCTGTATATACGCATTAAATTACCTCCAACCACGTTTGTTAGTTCAGGAAGCTTGTCGTCCTTGCTTATCAAGAACGTGCGGTCTTCTACTGGCACAAGCAAGCCGTCGGCGTTTATGTGTACGTCCTTGTTAAATACCCATACTTCCTTATTCTGCTGTTTCCCAATGAGCTGAAAGTAGCAACTTGTTAGTACAAGAAATTAATGTACTGTTTAATAAACGAACAGGAGTGTTTTATTAGGTTTAAAGACACGAGCGCGCAGCGCGAGTGGCTTTGACCTAATAAAACACGACGGCCTGCGAGTTTATTAAACAGCTTCAAACACGACTACAAATTCAATAGATATACCGCCTTATTAGTATTCTTTATATAAAAATACTAATGAGGACACAACAACAATAGATACTGCCTTATTAGTATTCTTTATATAAAGAATACTAATTAGCAGTGTTTTATCAGGTTTAAAGCCACTGCACGTGACATATTATAGTTGACTTGATTTGCCAATAAGCTTATGAATTATTAATGAGTGTTTGAATGACTATTTAAATCATGCACGTCATTCCATCTAGCTAAATAGGGCAATTCCATTCAGTGCGAAGATTTTCCTTTTGTCTCATGAGCTATGGACTATCATGGATAAGGTCGAGTGCTCAGGAGACAAAAGAAAGAGGTAATAGCCAAACGTAGATCGCGTGACATTTTGCACCGAATGAAATCAGCCTTTAATCTTTATTCATGTCCATCTGCTTTTATACATTTTTACAGCTGAGATAAAGAAGCTCAGAAAAAGAACGAGTGAACGAGTTTACTGCATGCTATAATCTGAAAATTTAAACGAAATTTGGCTCACCTTGACAGGCTCATATCGTTTTCGATCATTTTCCGATGACATATATTCTTTGCAGAGGTTGTACACGAACTGGGGCAGGAACGTCTCCTTCGACTGTGCTATCCACAGTGCAGGAATTTTGGTCAATGTGTTAATTATGCTTGAATGGTTACCCATCTCTCGGTTCGACAAATAGATTTGGCTATACAAAATGACAGCAAAATGTTTTTAAAATTAAATTCACTTTTACTCTTGAACACGATTAACTAATAACATTTAGTTCTTTTGTTGAAGCAAAATTTGTTGCTTTTAGTCGTATTTTCATCTAGTTACGCTAGGCCTAGGGCAATTTCATTTAACATTTGTGCTTAAAGCCCCGTTTACACTACGCTCAATTTTTGGTACGGCACGGATAAAATTGGTACCCGTACCACTTTTTTGGTTCTTGGACTACCTATAATAGGTAGTCCAAGAACCAAAAAAGTGGTACGGGTACCAATTTTATCCGTGCCGTACCAAAAATTGAGCGTAGTGTAAACGGGGCTTAAAAATACCTTTCCGCCACTCGTGATGTTTGGAAATTTGTCAAATTGGACTCGCCCCGGCGGCTAAATAGGTAGTCCAAGAACCAAAAAAGTGGTACGGGTACCAATTTTATCCGTGCCGTACCAAAAATTGAGCGTAGTGTAAACGGGGCTTAAAATACCTTTCCGCCACTCGTGATGTTTGGAAATTTGTCAAATTGGACTCGCCCCGGCGGTTCGTCCAATTTCGGCAAAATTTCCAAAAATCACTCGTACTATTAATCCCCTTATCGTACTCGCCATCGGATGATTACCTATACTTATATTTATAAATGTTTCTATTCGTTTACTAGAATTTATTATGTAAAATTATAAATAATAAATGTAATATTATTTTAAATGTAATATATAGAGAGAATAACTGCATGGGTGCACAGAATACCAACACGAGGAATATATAAATTCCAAGCACCCATGTATTTTTCTGTTTATTATATATTAAAAGGACAATCTTTGAAAAGCGATAATTTTTACAAAAAAGCGATAATTGAAAAACGATAATTTTCACATGTGAGATTATCATGAATAATTTCACATGTGAGATTATCACTTTTATCAGTGCTCGAAATCTCTTTCAAAAACTCATTAATCATGAAGCAATTATCCAATCTTCAGTGAGAAATTAGTCACGTGCATACGTCTTTATACCAGCTAAAGAACACTTCAACACAAGACCATGGTTATGCAAACTATATAAAGATTTTATATAAAGATTTTTATATAAAGATTTTTATATGAAGATTTTCATATAAAGATTCGACTTACTATGCAAACGTTTTTGAAGCCATTTAAAAACTCGCAGGTCGTATTTCAGTATACAATTACTTTATGGTTTCCGTGTTTGGATGGCCTGATCCAAACACGCGGGAATGTTGCGAGA